ATTTGGTTCACTGGTTTGCTAGTTATTTATTAATGTGAAATATAAATGATGATCAAAAAATAATAAGTGATCCTCAAAAAATAGAATTGGTAACCTATAGATTAGGTTAGGGTATCAATTGTAATTTTTTGACGATGACTTATTATTTTTTTGTTGATTGTTTAAAATATGTGCCTTAATTATCATGCTGTTTCCACAAGTATATAATAGAAACGGTTCATCCCACCACAGGAGAGAACCAAATCTGATGAAGTTGCATATGCATATCAAGAAATCAGAAATTGGAAATCAATATATCTTTATTCAAATTGGATGTCTTTTGAATCGTCCAAACATATTTTTTCCCTACCACTCGTTATTGGACTAGACTATATTGTTTAGGACCAAAGTCAAGACTTATGAAACGGAACTATTTTCTTACGGACATCCTATGGCCATCTTCCAGCTCCACAATCAGACCCTGAATATGATCTAAAGACAAAGTAATCGTCAACACGAATCATACGAGCCTAAACTTGATAGCGTTATGCCGTTTTATAACGGAGTTCCTACAGCCACCTTCATTCCTACATCCATCATCAGACCCTGGATACCATCTAAAGATAAAGTACTTATCAAGACAAAAAAGAATGTAATGTTGATGGGGTTGCGTCGTTTCATTTCAGACTTCCTATGGCCACCTTACAGCTCCATCATCAGATCAGCTACAGGCACCATATTATTACATTGTCACCAGACTAACATAAGTATGCCAAATTTCCAACAAACAGCTGAATCGGATAGCAAGGACTAGTCGAAAAATGGTTTACAAATTTTATATAACACTGGAACAGTGCAAGTTAAATAAAAGCTTGTCAAAAGCAACGCCATACGCAATCGGTTTACAAATTGTGCAGTTTTTTTCTCTATGTTTTATTTCAATGCTGTCGCCATTTGGAATATTTGTCACCAAACCTATTACTCTATTTAGTTTACGATTATAAAAAAGCCATAAAATATCCTATTATTATAAAATTCAAAGATTTATTGAAAATTAAAATAATATGGTCTGATAAATTATTTCCACAACTTAATAAAATGTTGTAACACTATTTTATTCAATCCAATCTTTGTGTTGCACGAAGATTGTCACAACGCTATTAGACGTCCGTATTCTGGGAAGTCAAAGTAAAGTAGATCCTAGATTGAAAATGGAATAAAATGTTATTACATACAAACATCTTATTCTGCTTGTTTCAGGTATAAGGTAGATCTCAGGTCTCTCAGGCACTATTTTAAGGGAAAACACCTTTGCATTCTAAATTCAAAGAAAAAAATATAACTTATTCTCTTTATTATTGATGCGCTTAGATTTTAATTATCTCTGTCTGATATCTAGTTGAGAATAAAATGTAATATAAGATATTGTGTTTTTAAAATGTTTACTGATACTTCCAAAGTCAACCCTGGAGATTGTCTAGGTTTCGATTCAAAGAATGCCTATTTGAATTTAACTAAAATACAATTGAAAAACAAATGCAAAGGAAAAGTTTTGAATTTTCATGTGACCTTTCAAACACTTGATTCGTTCGAAAGACCTCATATCATAACTATAAAGTTTTACGGAATATGGACGGCAATCTTCCCGGGCCGCGTCCGTCTAAATAATAGAGAGGCGTGAAGATTGGTACCTCTCTCTCTCTCGGGTGGTTTATTCGTCGCCAACGGACCTTTCCGCTGTTAGCAGGCGACAACTCTTCCCAATTATATATTCATTCGACGGTCCCTCCGATCCGAATACAACTGTTGAATAACCGTTTTGGACACAGCATTCTAGATTTGATTGCCGCTTTCAAAGAACTTTTCCCGTGTTATTTGACCAAGTTTTCTTTCGAGCTTCTGTAAAAGCATATTGTTTTACGTTAAAACATACTTACAGGCTTGTGTTGATATTTTTAAATTGATAATCTTTTTTAAATATTGCAAATTATATAGAATCGTCAAATGTATCTCAATTTTGATGATACATTTATATGTTACATACATAGTCAACAGAACTGAGAAAAACACTTGTTTTTTAACATACATCATCAACATAACTGAGAAAAAAAATACTATCTACCTATATCTGCTTTTATATCCATGCGGTCGTATTTGCGTAAACTAATATATATAGGTAGGTGCTTGTTTGCCAGCGACTTACTGCCAGCTATTAAATATCACGTACAAATCAATTTCCACGAGCGGCAGAAATCTGAATCCAATTTGCAAGCTGTCCGATCGTGGCGGACGAGCCAGATATCACGGGCGAATATCGCTAAACGGCTAAATAATTTAGTGGCAATCTGTGGCGCTCGCGACCTCCGTGTCGCCACAACGGTTGCCGCGCTTTTGCGTGCTAGTGATGTGGTTAAGTGAAACTTTAGCTGTAACGTATTATAGCTCTGCTAAGAAAAACGTTTTACTTCATTTAGAAATATGTCGAGGCACTTGATAAAAGAAATATAAATAAATGTATTTATATGTATGTATCACAGAAAGTATGCTTGCTTTTTTAGAAAAAGTGTTAATTTTCGTTTATGGAAATATGGTTTATATGCAAACATGCAAAGAAGTAGGAAATAACATTTTTTATAAAATGTTCTGCAAAGCGACAGAGAGGTTTATACCGCAACCGTTTAAATGTTGATGTGGATAATCAGAAATATTCTTATGAAGTTTGAACAAAAAACGTCGAGTTACGTATAGTCCAGTAAGTAGTAGGAAAATAAAATTGTGTCTTAATAATTTAAATAAACTATTTAATTATCTTACTTTTGTATGTATTCCGACGTAATTATTAATTAAGAATACAATGGTATTAGGTATACAATGTTATTCTTTGTTTCAAATACTCTCATTTGAGTGTCTGATTGACTGATTTTCAATATTTGAACATTGCTAGTAAAAAAAAATCTGACGATACTCAATAAAAAGCTTCTAATTTTATGTTGCAGCCCTATTGTAGCCAACCATCAGATGTTTCGTGAGTTATAAGCATGAACTTTGAAGTGTATCGTGCATATTTCTCAGCGCTACCGTCAGATTTAGTACGTTTGTGACCATGTATAATTGATTTCGAAATTCGCGCGCAAATGCAAAACCAAATCGTGTTGTCTATGAATATTTAACTGTTCTATGTCCGTTTTAGTTCAATACGAACACTGTGGGTCTATTAAATTTAGATGCACACGAAATGTTGAAAATCACACAAAAGCCTTCAGGGAATCGGTTCCTTCAAACGCCATTGTTTCAGGAGGGTAACAGTCAATAGACACGTAAAACGTCAAACTCGGCGTCGCTATCGCTCAACACAATAGCAATCTGCACAAAGCTTTACTTGCGCGCAGTCATTAAAATTTCGTTCTACATCTTTTCCATTACGCGGTTGCAGACAAAAAATAGCAAAAACAAAAAGGACAACTCCCCAAAAACAAAAGTCGGGAACGGAGAGAACAGGAAATAAAGTTAATTAAGAGCGGCGAAATCGACTGAGTTGCGGTGGAAATTGGCCCCTTAAAAAAGAGACATTTGTAGCGGAGCTATTGCGCTTAATTTTTGTGACAAGTGAAACAAAGAGTTGGCAGGGTGGTTGGAGACGGGGTGGAAGACAGCGCCGGGAGGGAGGGGGGGAAGGTAGATAAGGTCGGTGTTATCACCGCCAGTTCCGGTCGGCCAGTGGCGAGTCGAAGGCGATACCTTTTGTTTTGCCACATTGAGGGATGCGCGCTCGCGTGACGTTATCGCACCCCTCTTCACGCTGACCTTTCAACTTGTGATAGTAAATTTTATTTCTTAGACATTTCACTGTTTCTCCTTGCGATTAAATCTAAACCTCAGGGATTATATCGATCGGTTTGCGTAACAGTAGCCAGTGTAAAATAAATAGAGTGTCAGTAATTTGATTTACAGCCGAGCGATGTCAAACGTAGGCCGTTAGTGCTTGAAGTGAATTCTATGAAGAATCGTTAATTGGATCTTTCTGCAGCCGGCCCACTTTTTAACTGAATCAGACTTGTGCATCGGGTAGTAATACGATATTGCTGTGTACGCTACGCTACCTGTATTGCGTACCTGACCTAATTAGCGGAAACATAATAAAATGTTCCCAGCATTATATCATCGTGTATTTATAATTGGCATTTCAAGGAATTATAATAAGATGGTATACTATAATAATATGGCAGCTACATCATGAATATTAAATGAGTATTTCTCAGGATGGATCTTGCTTAATAGTCCATATCTAGTAACCGATATATAGTTAATAAATATTAACAGTATAACATGAATAAATAGGAGGATTATGGAACAATTAATCACGAATTTATGTTAAATAAATCATTTACTTAATCTAAATGTGATTTAACTTTTCTAATTTTGAGTTAATACAAATATTTTATATTAAAATGGGATGTAAACAAGCATGCAACATTTCTTATATCTCATTATAAACATTTGTTATAGGCTTATACTAACTAAATTACCTGTATGTTGACAACCGTAACACCATTGTCTGCCATCTGGAGCTAATATCATCTTCCTCGTTGCATTTACAGAAATATACAGACTGCCGTAATTTATTCAAACTCTATAATTTATAAGTTGAAAAATATTTTAAAAAGTCACTCCCATTTATGTGACAATACCATTTCCATCCTCTTATACTATCTCTGTATTATAACATAATTGCAGAGGATCCTCAGAAAGATTTATGTATCTAAAGTAATTACTAAAATAAATCTAATCGGTCCAGGTATTAGGACAGGATCCGAAGAATTAAGATTATTTTTATATTCATAAATCTAGCAGTTTAATTCTTAAAAATAACAATATTGTAAGTGTGTGAGACCGGGGGAAGGTGGTTTGACGTAACAGTCATTGCAAACTGTGCGCGCGAAATTCAAAATCGGTATTCACACGAACAATGGTTAGTGGAGTACAATAAGAGTAGATTTATAGATGTTTTTATTTCATAACAGATTCTGCGTGGGTGACCGCTTCTACTTGTGCGAGAACAAGATCCTCTGCGAGTACGACTACGAAGAGAGGCTGGTGTTTGCAAACATGGCGTATAACCCGCCACCACTTGCGCACCTCAAGCGGCAGACCACCCATCTGCCACCCCCACCGGTATGTATATTCATTTATAGTTTTTTTTAATGTTAAAAGGGTGGAAAACAAGCATATGGCCCGTCTGATGGTAATCAGTCACCATACCCTATAAACTCTTGCGCTACAAAAAGATATCACTCGCACCGTTGTCTACCCTGACACAATACCCTGCCTGTTGGAGACCTGGAACCTTACTCACTGATAAAAACTCAACACCAGTAAAAGATAGTGATATTTTACTATGTGTGCGTCTTTTGTAAGGTGGAGGTTACTTAACCCAAACAGGCGCGCCAATGGAACAGTTAAGTAATAAGTTCAGTTAAGTTCTTTTTTATGACTTTCGAAGGCAAACGAGCGGACGATCCACCTGATGTTAAGAAGTCACCGTTGCATGGACATCAGCAATACCAGTGACACAGGTATGCCGTTGACTTTCGTGGAACACTCTTTTTGAGCTTTTCTTGAAGAAGATCTTGTTATAGTGCTGAGGGAACACCAGGGAACTCCGTGGACTTAGATCTGGAGTGGAGACCACAAATCGGCAAACTAACGTAGTATGGGGCACTCCACGGCTGGATGGAGCGACGATATCCGAATGGCAGATGATGTGCTATGGGAGAGGCCTATGTTCAGCAGTGGTCCGATGCAGACTGATGACCGGGATTTGAACCTGATCCCGGTGATAATTAAAAAGTTCCTAAAGTTACAAATATTTATTATCTCCATTGAGAACGTAACCTAATAAGAATGTATGATATTTCACTTTTTAGGACTCAGGGGTCTTTTCAAGGCCCAAGCTTCTTGTATAGATTTTGGCAGTATTTGTCTCCTACCCTTCAATATTACATAGCCCATATGTTTATCTAAGAATATTAAACTCCGCCATTCTTATAAAGAGACAGTTTTAATACATCTTGAGGAAAAAAAAATACAGTTAATATAATATATTTTTTCCTTAACCTGTTCAAAAGCTCTGTACTCACCACTGACACCAATAGCTCAAGGGTGGATATCATTCTAAATTTATAAATTGTTTTTATATTTACTAATAAGTTTTCCTAAGTATAAAAAAATAAACATCGACCATTTATCGAGTTAAATAAAACATCAATACCTTTCATCAACAGACGAGCAACGCGATGGGCGCCATGATAAATGGTTCGAGTCGTTCTGGCGATTTGAACAACAACATGTCGGGTGCATCGCCGGCCCCGTTCGCGCCGCCCCCGCACCTCAAGCCCCTCGGCCTGTCCGCGTCCAGCTGAGACTACCGCGTTTGAGATCTGGCCCATCCGTACTCCAAGTTTCAAAACTAGTCGCGCGTGGTACACCGTTGACTCAAGCAGTGCGTGGTAGGACATTACTTTTCATTCGTCAGCTCGGACTGTGTATACATTAACGAACTTAACAAGTGTTAATGGTAGTGAAAAAGCAAAGCAAATGCCAAACTGTAGTTAGTTCACATTGATTGTTACGATGTAACGCAGTTTATTCACGTGTCATTCGAATCATGGCTTCTGAAATATTAAACATAAATAATAATTAGGAATTCCACTCAGACTTATTTATGATGTGCGTTGTTGATTTGTTACGCTTGTTCAAGTGCAGTCGGCATTTAGTAAATTTAGTTTTTATAATCTCATAAGTTGATCTCAGAGAGGTAATTCACTGATAGTATAGTAAATATGTGACAATTGGTATCTTTATGATAATGTTACTAGTTGATTTTGTATCAACTCTATCTCTCTGTCGAGTTGAGAGTAATTATATTGTATTGAGACAACACTTTATTTCCTTTTTCTCGGAGTATTTTTCATCGATAATTTACAAACAAAATCTGATAATGTTGATTGTATGTATCTGAGTTATGTATTGTACTCATCATGTAATAGATACTCGGATAGAGCCATCTAAGTGCAGGTTTTAAGACTGCTTGATTTATTTGAGGTAATTTTGTAGTACCTATATAAGAGCGTCAATGTTATTGTAAATATTAATTATTATCAATGTATGTATAGATGTACGAGGCAGTTAAAGTTAATTATTGAATTTAAGAATTGAGTCACTTAAAATACGCTTGGAAATTGTATTACGGAAAATTAAAGTAATTTTAATTTTGAAAAATAAATATTGAATTAAAATAACCTACAAAGGAATATGATTGTATAATAGCGTATTTTTGGTGATGTTACTCTATAAAACTAAATTATGATTATTGTTTCATGTTTATTTTTATTTGGCTAAGCCGATTTGGAGAATTGAATTATTTTCAGAATTCTCTCTTTGTTGTTTTGTTTTGAACTCATGATGTATATTTATTGTTAAGTTTACTGTAAACATTGTTGTGATGTTTGTATTATTTATGTAAATAAAATTCTCGCTGTAAGTAGAATATTTGTATGCAATTATTAAAAAGTAAATGTATTTGAAACGAATAGTGAAATGTCAATATACTTAAGTTTTCTCTAAAGTATATTACTTTATAGTTCAAAATAATTTCTTAAGCTACGTTTTAATGGAGTCCTTGAGATTTTCTATCTTTACTGTATATAAATATGTACAGTTTTCAACTGTAGCACGTGTTTTGCCTACATTTTAGAAATAAATAAACGGGTCATCACACGCCTATTTAAAGTTATACAAACACTTTGTTTTCGCTAAAACTTCTTGCTGAGTGCAAGACGATTAAATACTGCTTTATAATGTTTTGCCCGTCTGAAGAGCTTAATGTAAAACTTTACAGAAAAGCTGTAAATTTCCTGATACCGTTATTTTTAAGGAATACCTAGATTTTAATACTAAAAAGGAAAATTACTTTATGTAATGCACCTATAGAATTTGAATTCAGACTTTACAAACACTAGATATCATTTAATTATTTGATAAATTACAAAAGTTTTTTTTTAAACAGGCGATCTAACACTACTTGCTAATTGCATTCCTATGTGTACAATTGTAGGAATACACATTTGTGAATAATTATTTAGTGTCTGGTTCTTTTTAAACCAATGATAACGACCAAAGATGTAGCTCATTAAAACCTTATTGAAAAACTAGTACCTGGAATTTTATTTCTGCTGTCCTGACATATCATTTGAAATATTTTTAAACTTTGAGCACAGGGTTTAATTTTTTTTATGTAATAAAAAGTAAGACTAATTTTATTGATGTTGTGATTCACTAACATTATAAAATCTGCTGTAAGTTAGGCTAAATAATGAAATATATTCCAAAATATAGAGGAAAATTATATTTGTTTACTTCCAACTGACGCCTTCCTTGTCGTCCAAGCGCTAGTATTGCATATCAAATCTCAGTGTCAAAGGATACATTTCATCTAAGCAACGCAATTAAGTAACACGCTCTCCCGCGTTACGTAGCGTAGTGCGTGGCAGTGATTTCCTTGCATTTTTAATGAAATTGCGAAGTGCGTAACCGCTGAACTATATCTGCTGTACTGCACCGTAGAACTTTGTTATAGGATAGCATGGTAATAGTAAATGAGGGATGAGTTGAAACAATTGAACATTAATTTGACGACCTCCGTGGCCGAGTGGTTTGTACGTCGGGTTTCATGGTGTCGCCGTCTCGAGAGGTCTACCGGGTTGGAATCCCGGTGGGGGCAGATGTTTGTGTGATGAATACGAGCATTTGTACTCTATCCGTTACCCTAGCATCCCTTAACACAAGCCTTACAGTGCTTACTTTGGGGCTGGGCTAATTGGTGTTAGTGTTGGAAATATTTATTTATTTATTTAATTAGGGTTTTTTTTTCATGTTTGCATCTACCTACATTTTTATGTCCTAAGGAACATGTTTCTGGTTCTGGTTTTACCAGGCAAATAAAGCTGCAGAGAAAATCTTTATTCATATGGAGTTCTTTATTTTAAATGATACCTATTCGTCAATTACTTTCACTTATGTTCATTTGTCGTATGATCAATTCTACTACGTTTGATTTTTATAAGAGGCACTAGCATTATCTCCCTGTTCCATATATACCTCTGTCAAATCTCCACTAGTAGAGATACTTAGAGTTTTTTCTCCATTTATCGCAACCAGTGTGAAGGTGGAAAAAAATATCTAATTATCCCTACCAGATTGGATCAGTGGGGATATAATCTGGACATCTTCAAGGCCAAAGTGAACAGGCATCTTCTAGGCAGGCGTGTACCGTCCTAGGCCTCATCATCGCTTTCCGTCAGGCGAGATAGTGGTGGCGCAGCCGCCCCTTGTAGCCTGCCATGGCCATGACCCTCTTCGACCTGGGGTGAATACGCCCTCGGCGAGGGATATTCCTCCAGGGCAACTTTCGAGCGGGTAATCCAATAACCCGCTCTTAGCTTGATACAGATATTTAGGTAGTTGAAAACGATTTCGTCTAACCCGGCTTACAGCAAAACATACAACACTGACAATTTGAAATAATATTTAAGCGTAACCTACTCAGTTTGAAACTTTACTATATAAAATAAATAAATATTTTCAACACTCACACCAATTAGCCTAACCCCAAACTAAGCACTGTAAGGCTTGTGTTATGGTATGCTAGGGTAACGGATAGAATACACATATTGTACATATATAAGTATATTAATTTAGAAATACATATTAGAACATCCATGACTGGAGTACAAACGCTCTTATTCATCACACAAACATCTGCCTCACCGGGATTCGAACCCGGGGACCTCTCGAGTCGGCGTCACCATGAAACGCGGCGTATAAACCACTCGGCCAAGGAGGTCAATATATAGAAAGTATATGAAGGTAAAAGAAATATAAATTATGCTTCAACATTACTATAAAACTAACACTACACTAAACTATACTACTAACTTCCCAGTGCGGATAGTAAAAACTTGTCAAAGTGCATAATATTATTGCGAATCACTGTTTTTATTAATATACAACGCCTTGGACCTCAACAGAGTTAAATATGGTTTTATTAAAGTATGGTAAAGGAGTGTGTTTATAAGTACAATATTTGCTCTCAATCTTTGAAACATTCTCCCGCAAAGATCAAATGGCTTGAAAATATGCTGTAGTGATTGTCGTTTCCCCTCCACTCCCAGGCTATCTCGGGAGCATAACTTTAACAATATAACTACTCATTAAATTTAGATTTAATGAGTAGTTATATTGTTAAAGTTATATTGCTATAACTATTGCTATTATTATTATTATCTATTGCTATAACGCTTTTCAACAGTTGAACGCTCGATTCAATAATGGGCATAATATAAAGTTCAATGAGAGAAAAACCCCATCTGGGGTGAACGGAAATTTGAAAAGGTCCTCTCTGTGGGTCATAATGGGGACCAAAGCTCATGTCGAGGCATAAAAATGTCGACCGGCGAACCATTGGCGTACTCGCTGATACTACCTGAGAAGTGCAACATCACCTCAAGAATACCGATTGTAGCGTCTGCAAAAGAAAATAATTTTGTTTATTTTTACCCATGACAGACGATGAAGTTGTTTGTATGTGAAAACTGTGTCTAATGAAGGTTTGAAAACACAATAAATATACGACTTTGTTTTACATAACATATCCAGGCGAAAAAAGGACGATGCGGTTTAGAATCCCGTATGAAACCTGGAACGAGTGAAATTTTACTATTAATATTGTCTTTAGATTTAAACGTCTTTATTTATCAAACAAGTTTGTATCATTAATCTTCATATATATAAATTACGCGTCACGTTGTTTTATCGGGATGGACTCCTAAACTACTTAACCGATTTTAATCAAATTTGCACACCGTGTGCAGTTTGATCCAGCTTGAAAGTTAGGATAGCTTACATATCAAGTTATAGTCGCAATATTATTTTATTGCAAATTATTACTTTTGGGCAGTACGAAGTTCGCCGTATCAGCTAGTTGTAGTATATATATATATATATTTACATATATGTTAATATGTGTTAATTTGTTTCTATTTTATTGGAAAGAATGTGATGGTAACAGCTTTCAAGACAAAGTTCCAAAAATAATTATCAACATTAAAGATTGAATCTGAGTTCCAGAATAAGACTTAATAAAATCTATTTACATCGAAAGGGGAAAGTTATTAACCGACAGATAATAAAGGCGATATCTTTACGTTGCTAACGGTACTTACTAAGCAGAGGTGTACACAGGAAAAATCACCCCAATTTCCTTCACCGAGCCGCCCTCATTGTCGGAGAGCCAAGCCTGATAGAATTGTTATCGATGCCATCTTTAATTTCGGCACGGCAAACACCCGATAAACTTCGTAACTTACTACGGATTTATGGTACCAAAAAATGTATACTTAATATCAAAAGTCAATAAAATTGTCTGTCAAAATCCTGATGCATTGGTAGGAATGCAGTGCCAATGACAGAACTATTTACACTATTTAGTTTAAGGTCTACTTTTAGAAAAATTTCCAAATATCGACTCCAAACAAAATAGACTGGTATATCTTATAGAAAAGTGAGTAAACGTAAAAGTCAATTTGGAATTATTGTATGGGGTAAATTTTGTTGGAGTTTAATCGGGATTTAGCAAAATTGCGACATTACACTGCTAGATGATGAAATCTAAAGAATTTTTAACTAAAAATAAACACGCAGTCCAGGCTGCAGTATTTAGTTTTTCTAAAGATTAACCTAAATAATTCCATAGCTAATTTGGTTTGAAGACGATGTTGGCACAACGATTGGTCGTCCGGTGGGTCGTTATCTCGTGATCCTTCATGCTTCGGGAAGCACGTTAAGCGGTTGGTCCTAGTTGCTGTCTTAAGTTAGTAAGTAATGGTTAACACCCACCAATGGCAGTATTACTTGCGAGGTGGGTTACGGTCCGCCTTTTGCATGTTTCTGTATATGTGGAACCAATAGAAGCACTATTGGAGGTTTCTGAAAAAATAAGGTGGTAATGTTCTATTATTGTTTGTGGCATTTTTATATAATTAGCGTCTTAATTACTTTTTATTCGTGTAGTGGTTAAAGTAAGTTTGTTTTGTTTTATCGTTCATCATAAAAAATATGGCCCAATAAGAAACATTTATCTGCGGATAAAGTCTGCAAAATGCGTTATATTAAGATCCCTTGTGCTTCGCAAGGCACGCTAAGCTGATGTTCTCGGCTGCATCTGCAGTTGTTAGCAGCCACAAAACCGCACTGGGCTTGCATACCCATTCTTAACATTCTGTCCATAAGAAAAACGTATGCCCTAGTAACGGAGACATTAATAATCGTATAATTATAAAATAATAATAGAACGGAATCGAAATAAAATAGATCGCTTCAATAGTAGAATTAAGTATGATATCATATTCGACTCTAAACGACAAAAATTAACCACCAATAAGCCTTGCGCAAGCTGCTCTTTATGCAACGTTTGGACAAATTCTTACAGCACCGTCATATTTTATGGAAATTTCACTCGGGTGAAATGTGTAAATCTTCATAGAAAGCAGACAATCCAAGTGTAAACAAGACACGATGTGATATGTGAAAAACAGTTGCAGCCTACAAACCAACACTGCGAGCCGATCGACGAAAAAAATGAAAATAAAACAGCGTAGGAAGCCCGGCGCACACCACTGATGGCTTCTTGCAATAATTTCCGTTTTCAATGATGGCGTTTTTCTTTTTCTTATCACCGCACGAACTAGGATGGTTGGGAATAAATTGAAATACAAAATTGATTGTTGACTTTTCCCGGCCGCTTTATTACTGTCACAAATAGGAAAGAGATTGAAAAGTGCCTACAGAGACGGTGACGTAGATTTGACGACCAGCTTATTATTCGAGTGTTCACTTCTTATGCTTTATCAATGCCGTTTATTGTTGTGAATTTACTAATGTAAATTATTTAATTATTATTGTTCAGAGTGATTTAATCATTACTTTAAGAGCGCAAAGCGCACACTAATTTGTGTATTGCATCTCCGTTTGAATCGTTATATATTAATTAGGCTGGTTTTGTTGTGAGAATTCACACACTTAAAATTTGACAGCATTGCAGTACATAGTTATTATTTTGAAATTGAGAACGAAGGGGAGAGCTGCGGAGGAGAAGAGGAGAGAAGACTGCTGAATATTATATTTTACTAGCTGTGCCCCGCGGTGGTACCCGTGGTTTATTAGGTATATTTGCCCACAGTAAAACGTAGCCTATGTGT